TACTATCATGACAGAGTCTGCCACGTCAGCCACTACTACAACTCGTCTCGCAACTGAAACTATCGATTTGGCTGCTGTTATCACTAGCATAATTGAGATAACCTCTTTCACTGTGAATACGATTTCAACAAACGCAGAGAGTATACACTCAACTGCTGCTGCCAACACTGAAACTATCGCATCAACAGGTGATAGTCGTCGAACAACCACTGATACTACCAGTTCAGCAACTGATACGACTAATCTCACGACAGAGCCTGCGACTTCAGTCACTGCTACAACTCTTGTCGCAAATGAAACGATTAATTCGGCTGCTGTTATCACTAGCATAATTGAGATAACCTCTTTCACTGAAAATACTATTTCTACAAACGCTGAAAGTACACCTTCAACTGCTGCTGCTATGACTGGAACTATTGCATCAACAAGCAATAATCGTCCAACAACCACTGAAGCTACCAGTTCAACAACTGATACGACTACGATCACAACAGAGCCTCCCACGTCAGCAACTAGCACAACTATTGCTACGCCTCAAACTATTGATTCAACTGCTGTCTTTGCGAGCATCACTGGGATAAGTTCTTCCACTGCGAATACGATTTCTACAAACGCTGAAAATACACATTTTACCGCTGATACGACTTCTGAAGAAAAAAGAACTGCCATATCAACAAGCGATACTCTTCCTAGCATCAATGAAGCTACGAGTTCAACAACTGATACGACTAGGATCATGACAGAGTCTGCTAGTTCAACCACTAGTACAACTCTTCCCGCAACTTACACTATCGATTCAGCTGCTGTTATTACCAACATCTATGAGATAAGGTCTTCCACTACTAATACGATTTCTACAAATGCTGAAAGTACATCTTCAACCGCTGATAGTACTTCTGAGAAAACAAGAACTCTCACATCAGTAATCGATACTCTTTCTTCAACGAATGACGCTACCAGTTCAATAACTGATACGACTACTATCACGACAGAGTCTGCCATTTATAGCATTAGTGCAACTATTGCCGAAACGGAAACTGTCGATTCGGCTGCTCATCTGAGCAGTATCATTGAGACAAGCACTTCCACGACGAATATGATTTCTACAAACCCTGAGAGTGTATCGTCAACCGGTGATACTACTGCTACGAACACTGAAACTACCGCATCAACAAGCGATATTCGTGGAACAATCACTGAAGCTATCAGTTCAACAACTGATCCGACTGCTATCATGACAGAGTCTGCCATTTCAGTCACTAGTACAAGTATGGCCACTACTGAAACAACCGATTCCGGTGCTCATCTCAGCATTAGCATTGAGATAAGCACTTCCACCACGAATATGATATCTACAAACGCTAAGAGTACACTGTTAAGCGCTTATACTACTGGTGCCAACACCGAAACTGCCTCATCAACAGGTGATACTCGTCGAACAACTACTGTAACTATCAGTTCAACAACTGATGCGACTACTATCACGTCCGAGTTTGCCACTGCAGCCACTAGTACAACTCTTGCCGTACCTGAAACTATCGATTCGGCTGGTGTTACCGCCAGCATCATTGAGATTAGCACTTCCACTACGAATACGATCTCCACAAACACGGAAAGTAGTACTTCATCCGCGGACTCTTCTGATACGTATAGTGAAGGTGCCACATCCACTACTAGTATTTCTTTTAGAACCATTGAAACCACTAATTCAACAACTGAGATCAGTATTATCTACATTCAAGCTAATACTTCAACTGATGCTGCTAATACTACCATCACTGAAAAGATGAGTCCCACGACTGATATCATTACTATTTTAACTGGGACTTCCAGTTCGTCAACTAGTTCGGCTACAAGCACCAATGGAATCAGTAGCTCATTCGTTACAAGCAGTTATACCACTGAAATTAAGGATACTGGTACTTCTATGAACGAAATCAGCAGTGCACTTGCTGCTAGTAGTACTCCCATCATGGATGCCACTACTGCTACTAGTGAAGCGACGGTATCGACTGTTGCTAGTGCTGCTACCATCATTGAGTCGACGACGTCAACAAGTGCAACCACTATCATCACATCTGAATCTCCTATTTCGATTACTGCTCCCACGTTGATTATCGCAGTATCTACTAATACAACTACTGATACAACAACACCTAACACGGAATCTGGAACTTCAATTGCTAGCATTACTGCTATCATCATTGAATCTACTGTTTTAGGAACTAAAACGAATCCTACCAGGACTGGAACTATTATTCCAACTATTTATTCTGCTACTACCATAGCTGAAAGTACTAGTTCAAGTACTAACGCCACTTCAATCATGAGAGAAACTACAAGCTCGAGTGCTAATACAAATACTGTTGCTTTTGGGGCTACATCTGCAACTAGTGTCAAAACTATGACCATCACTAAAAGCATGCATCCAGCAACAGATACCACTACCATTGATGAAACCATACGTTCCGATGCTTCTGCCACTGCCCTTACGAAATCAAGCAGTTCTATCAGTGATATGCCAACCGTAGCCAGTGAAAACGTCAGTTCAACTGCTCCTAGTGTTGCTGTCAATGCTGATTATACCAGTTCAAGTACTCTTGCGAGCACTACCATCATTGCCAGTATAACCGCAAACACAGACTCTACCAGCGAGAACGCTGAAACGATCACACCAACTATGACAACAAATACTAACAGTTATGAAACTACCACTTCATTTGCTGCTACTAGTATTGCCAGCATTGAGTCTAACATTTCAGTAGCCGATACGAATATTGCACCTACCGACTCTAGCACTTCAAGTACTATCGCTCCAACGACCCGTAGTGGTGCTAGCAGTACTGAAAGTACGATGTCAACCACTGAGTCCACTGCTGTGACCACCGACGCCATCAACACCTTCAAGGAAAGAAACTTTACCATCAATGACACTGAAACTAGCACGCGTTTTGATTCTACCATCATAACGGAAATCGCTGTTATCATAACTGAAACTGATGTTTCAACTACTGATACGATTATGGGTTCTGATGAAAGTTTAATCCCAAAAACTAACACTATGACTGCTACCAGTGAGACTGCCACGTCAGCCACTGATGCTAGCAGTATGATCTTTGAGACTACCACAACTTCCAAAGAAACAACAATGACTACTGGGATTACAGCTACTCCTACTGCAACCACGACTGAACCTAGCCTTTCATCTATTGACGGTATAACAATAGTACTCGAAACAGCTACTTCAACTTCTGCTACGACTATTACGACTGTTGAAAATGGTACTTCAACTATCGTTGCTACAACTACCAACACTGCTGAAACTGCACATTCCACCACGGATACTACTACAACCACTGAAAATACTATCTCATTTATTGGCATGACATGGACCCAGAGTGAAATTATACCTGCAACCGATAGCATCGCAGATACCAGCACTGAAACTACAACTTCAACTATTAACGAAATTACTGTCACCGGTAAAACAGCAATTTCAATAACTGATAGTAGTACTACAACAACTGAAGCTAACACCTCAATTCCTGATACCACTATAACCGCCAATGGCAATATAAGCTCGACTACTGGCACTAAGAATTCAAACGGTGAAAGTGCCACGTCATTCACTGATACTGTCAGCATTGGCTATGAGAGCACGACTACCTCCAAGGAAACCACATTGATGCCCATGGGAATTACTTCTACTATCACTAATGCAACTATAACCGTCATGAAAAGCGCTGCAGCCATGACTGAACCTAGCATATCATCCTATGATGCTATAACAATCATACTGGAATCACTTACCTCAACCACTGCTACGACTACTATACTAATTAAAAATGACTCAGCAGCTAGTTCCCATTCAACCATCAACACTGAAACTACATATTCAACTATGGGTCATACAACTATCGCTGGAAGTAGCATTTCAAATAGTAATACTGTTACTACGATCACTGCAACTAGCATTTCATCTACTGATACTGTAACAATCATACCCCAAACAGTCACTTCAACCACTGCTGCGACTACTATGACTGGGGAAAATGGCAATTCATCTATTTTCGATGCCATTATCAACACTCAAACTACAGCTCTAACTACAGGCACTACTACTGTTGCTACAAGTAGCATCTCAGATAGTGATACTACTACTGCAAAAGCAGATGATACTAGCAGCTCATCTTACAATGCGCAATCAATCATACTTGAAGCAGCTCCTTCAACCGCTGCTACGACTGCCACATCTGAAAGACATGACACTTCAGTTATTTCTGACACAACTGTCGACACTGAGACTACACCTTCAACCATGCGCGATACAACAACCGCTGAAAGTAGAATTTTGGATAGTAATATTACTATCACAACAACCAGCGAAACCAGCATCTCATCTGATGATGCTATAACAATCATAATCGAAACAGCTGCCTCAACCGCTTTTACAACTTCTATGCCTGTTAAAAATGGCACTTCAGCAATTTATGATGCAAGCATCAACACTGCAACTACATTGTCAACTTGGACCGCTGCTACTACCCCTGGACGTGGCATTTCGGATAGTGATGCTGCTACTACAACCACTACTCAAACTAGCTTTTCATCTGATGATGCTATAACTATCATACTGGAAAGAGCAACTTCAAAGGCTGCCACGACTACTATGCCTATTGAAAAGAGCAATTCAGCTGTTTCCGACCCAGGTATCAACACTGAAAATATATATTCAGCTCTGGACACTACGACTATCGCTGAAACGAGTATTTCGCATAGTGATACTACTACTACAACAACCACAGAACCTAGCATTTCAACTATTGATGGTGTAACAGTCATACTCGAAACAACTACTTCAACGACTGCTACGATTACTAAGTCTATTGGTAATGGCACTTCATCTATTGTCGGTACAACTACAATACACACTGAAATTACATCTTCGACCACGCATACTACTACAAACACTGAAAGCACCATCTCAGTTTTTGGCTGGATGTGGACCGGCAGTGATACTACAGCTGCAATTGATAACACTACAGACAGCAGCACTGAAGCTAGGATTTCAACTATTAATGAGGATACTGTCACGAGTGAAACACCACCTTCAATAACTGACAGTAGTAGTACAACAACTGAAAGTAGCAGTGCAATTCCAGATACCACTATGACCGTCAATGAAAATGTAAGTCCATCTACTGGCAGTAACAATTCACCCAGTGGAAGTACCGCTTCATCCACTAATACTATCAGTATGACCTTTGAGAGCATGACTACCCCCACAGAAACAACAATAATGACCAGGGGAACCATATCTACTGCCAATGATACAACTGCAACGGTCACGAAAACTACTATAACAACCACTGAAGCTAGTATTCCATCAATGGATGGTATAACAATCATACTCGAAACAACCAGTCGAATGGCTGCTACAACTAGTATGCCTATCGAAAATGGCACTTCAGCTATTGTTGCTACAACTACGGATAGTAGCACTACGATTATTCAAAATACTACTTTAACTACTCATGCTACAACGATTGCTGAAGCAACTTTGAGCATTGGTATTACTGCTGCCAGAATTGAAACTACGGCCACCTCTATAAACAGAAAAGCAACCGCCATAGAAACTGCGAATCTCACCACTACTATCACTCCAACGATTACAGACACAACTAGTATAACCAATGAAACTAGCAGTTCAATTTTCATTACAAGTGCCACCGCTACTGAGACTATGACTCCACCCACCGAAGCTATCATCAGCTCGGCTGCTGAAATTACTAGTACGAGTAGTGTAACTGCGACCAATCTGAATAAAACGAATGTAAGCACCATTAGAACTGCAAGTACCGCTACTGTCACTACAGGAAGCATCACAGAAGGCACTGCTAGCACCATTGAAACAAGAATTTTGACTGGTAGTGCGACTGCTGGCATCGATCAAGCTTCAACTTCAACTACCGTCAATAATATCATCGCCACTAAAACGGTCACTTCAGTGACTGATACGAGTAGTATCACCAGTGGCATAGGCACTTCAACTGCTGCTATGACCAACAAATTTATTACTTCAACTTATGGCAGTGATACTATCGTCGCTGAAACTACTAGGTCAACGATCGTACCTCGTAGTTGGACCATGGAAGCTAACATATCCCCTAGTGAGGGTACTGGTAGAACAAATGAAGTCATTGCTTCTGTGGCTGGTACGACAAGCGCCGCAAATGAAATTACAACTTCCACTACTGATTCTACTTTTACCATTACTGAAGCTACCCTCTTAGCCGCTGATAAGACGATAGCCAACACTGTAAGAAATACATTATCTGCTACTGCAAATGATATTTCAATTAAAAGTGCCACTTCAACGATGGTCACTACTATTATGGCTGATGAAACCAACGTTTTCACTACTATCACAACTACTTCGATCACTGAAACATCAACTTCAACGATTGACAATATCACGCTCACCACTAGCGGAACTATCACTGCAGTCACTCAAGGTGTCAGTTCGGCTGCTGATATTTCCACTAGGAGTAATGAAACCACGACCAATCTGAATGAAACGACTACAAGCACCATTAGGACTCCAAATACTGTCACTGACACTACAGGAAGCATCATAGAAAGCACTGCTAGTACCATGGGAATAAGAATTTCGACTGTTAGTGTGACTGCTGGCCTCGATCAGACTACAATTTCAGCTACTGTCAATAGTATTAGCACCGCTAAAACGACCAGTATAGTGACTGATACGAGTAGTATCACCAGTGAAATAGGCACTTCAACTGCTGGTATCACAACCGAATCTAACACTTCAACATATGACAGTGATACTACTGTCACTGAAACAGCCAAGTCAATGATTGTGGCTAGTACTTGGATCCCGGAAGCTACCACTTTGCCCAGTGAGAGTACTGATATCACAAGTGAAGCCATTACTTTCAGTACCGATACGGCTACCGCCACAAGGGAAACTATTATTATCACTACTGAGGCAATGATTAACCTAACAGAAACTATAACTTCCACTACTGATCCTACTTCTACCATTATTGAAATGAGCACTTTAGCCGTTGATAAGACAATAGCCAACACTGTCATAAGTACATCATATGCTGGTGGTAGTAATATCTCAATGGAAACTACCACTTCAATGACTGACACTACTTTTGTGGCTTCCGAATTCAATATTTTCACTACTATAACAACTACTTTGATTGTTGAAACTGTGACCTATAGCAGTGCTACAAATTCTGGTGCTGCTGAAGATGCCACATTAAGTTCTGCTACTACTGCTACCGCCGCTGAACCGAGTACTTCAGCCACTCAGAGCACTTTTATCACAGCTGAGACTACCCTGTTAAGGGCTACTACTATGTCAACTACGGAGACGAGCACTTACTACAGTGAAAACACGACTTCAACTGCTGGCACCACTTTTATCACCGTAGAAACTAAGACTCCAATAACTGTTTCTACTGATACCACAACAGAAATGATGACTGCACAAGATGATAAGACAACTATGCCTCGCGAAACTACCACTTCAACAACTATAGATACAACCATCAGCACCATCGAAACAACGTCTTTGACAACTGATTCTACTACTATCATCACGGAAACGGCAGTAGCGACTACTGAAAGTACGACGACGACAACAACAACCACAACTACAACGACAACGACAACAACGACAACGACAACAACTACAACAACAACTACTACAACAACAACTACTACAACAACAACAACAACAACAACTACAACAACAACAACAACTACTACAACTACTACAACAACTACTACAACAACAACAACAACTACAACAACAACAACTACTACAACAACAACAACTACTACAACAACAACAACTACAACGATCAGTGAGTCTTATAGAAAATTTAATAATGAGGAAAAGTCGTTTCAGTTTTCGGAATGTTAGGAAATAATGCTCAGAATTATCAGAGCTTTGGTGTGCAGGTTTCGGTTGTAATTGGTAGATTGTGTAATTGGAGTAATCTCTGAAAATAGAAGTCAAGTATTCGAGAATTTCCGGTCTGCTTCGAGATTGTTTGATCGGAGTATCAACGTATGAAGGATTGTGCTTTTGTCATCGAAGCGATTTCGTTGAATTGGTATTTTTGGGTCTGAGAGTTTTTCACGTAAAGCGTTGTTCGAGTTAAGGAACTGTGATTGTTAATCGACGTATGTTTAGATTTTCAAGAGAATTTCTGTATTTCTCTAAATGTCCAACACTGCATTATAAACCATAAACAACAATAAGCGGAAAATTATGAAGAATATTCAAGATTTTGCGGAGTTTTCACTAACTTATCATGAAATCAAACTGGAAGGTACTTCGAAATTTCACTAGCATATGAAGATTCCTATAAACTTTAATAAGAGGATGAACACAGTGTCCTTAAAAGTATGCAACATTTCTACAAATACATTGTGTAAGCATATAAACTAAATATGAATTATTATTCTTCGAAGAAATTCATGTTTTCAATTCATAAAAAGATAAACTTTGAAAATTGCGCTTGCTATTTTAATATTTGCTACTAACTTTTAAAAATTAAAGATGACATTTTTTTTCATTTAATATAAGAAATACTTTTACACTTATCCAACTAAGAGAAACGCCTTTCTCCAGTTACAGATGAGACATAAAGAGCTCATTTGTTAAATATAACATTTGATTAATAACTGAGTTATATGATGAAGTATAAAACCAATGTTTAGAAGTCATTTCAAAAGTTCACAATGTGAAAACTGATAAATGTGTTTTGTTAAGAACTATACTGAACATAAATAATTCTGCTAAGATCATCAAATGAAAAAAAGCTATTTCAAAATCGCTTTTTTGGAGAAATTTCACGTAATCAAAGTTAAACTCAATAGTCGAAACTGTTATTGTATTATGCTTGCTTCTATTAGGACACTTCAATATATTCCGTAGTTGTAAGATGCTTGAGGAATCTGTGGTATTCTTTCGACAGGATATAGGTGTCGAGGGGTTCGATATTAAAATAGAACGAACAAAAAAAAATATATTTTTCAAGCTTTAGACTGTTAATTGAGTCCATCATATGAGTTGAAAACAGTTAAAATTCAAAAATTGTAGCTGAGCCAGCTTTAACTTCCACACCGTATAATATACTTTGCGTTTCCCGATGATCATCGTGCATTTGTATTAGGAGGAAGAAAGAAAATATAGAAACCACGTTTACGGTGGCTTGGTTGAAAGTTTTGGGTTTTTTTTTAATCGATGAGAAAGAAGAGGGATGATCAACATGAAATTGATTGTAGGAAGCAAATATCTAAATTTGTACATAGACGTATTAGGTTGATTGCATTAGTTCACTTCGATCTATCTAACCAAGGTAAATGAAAGTATTTATTGTTGGTTATCAATGATAACTGGAAACCATGAATGGTTTGAATGGTTCATATTTCGCATTTCTAGTTTATTGGTTTTGCAGTACAGCTCACTTCATATCATACTTGATATGAAGGATAAGAAATCATTCATTTTTTCGAAAGTTGCACACCATGTTACTTGCCATCAGAAAAAATTGATTGAAATATATTACAAATTGTAAGGCATCTACTATTTGTGATATTTTTGTGAAATCTATATCAATTTTAAGTAAGGCTATGTATTCAGTAAATTGGGATGACTTGTAAACTTCAAAATCTGAAGCAACTTATTATTTCTTCTTTGGTTAGTTGCCTACGAAGCAGTCAGCTAGACCGATGAAATATCAGATAAAAATACTTAACTATGTTACAGAAACGCATGTATGAATATCTATCCTCTTATTAGTGTACCTTCTGTTGCCGAAAAGTATGATAGTATTAACAATGCTTTTTGCATTGGAAAAAAAATGAATAGTTGAATACCTATAATACTTGTTTGATTATTTTCTTTTTTACTTGAATTAGTGGAGATTTCTTATATAAAGCTGTAAGTTACATCATTATTTATAGGTTTACCAGCTTTCTTGGACGTCCAATCTGGCACTATTTATGGTGTTTGGAACACATTTGCTGGTGGAATCAGTACACTAGCGACAGAAAGCAGTGCTGGTGCTGGAACCTATTATACTGGACAATCTCCAGACAACTTATTCGATGGTTCCCTTAGTACAAAATATACTAGTCGAGGTAATTCAAGTTCTGGAACCAATGAATATGCCGGTCTCAATACTGGTTTTTATATGTCTATTATTCAATGTCAACCAGTACTCATCGGATTTCGATTCGGTAATGCGTACAATTATTCAGAGCGCGAACCGCTTATGCTTACAATTGAAGGAACCAACTGTGCTAATCTAACGACTTGTGTAAATTGGACATTAATTTACAATGGATCAGCAGGTCTTGATACACTAGTAAACAGTTTAGCATATGGGCAGTATCAGTCAATTTCGAACAGTAATAGCTACACCAGCTATCGTTTTCTTATTACAAGTAAACGAGATTTAAGTGCATATGTTTCATATAGTGAAGTGCAAATCTTTGGCTATTCAAATCAATCGTCAACAAGTCAAAATGGAACATCAAGTAGGTTCAAATACTTTGAGTGCACTTTTTCATACACAAAGGTAATTTAAAAAAATTAGAAATTCAACAGCAATTATATAGGTTTATCTGTAGGATATTTCTTATGTGTCATTGAAATATGAGTCGGAAGAGTATATTTGCTTGTCAAATAGCTGTAAAAAATAAAGTGTTTGTTTGTTTTGTTTTTTTTTCAAAAACGGTTATGACAATATGATGATCT